GGTAAAAATAAGTAATTGAAATGGGTATATATTTGTTTTTTGTTACGTTGCCTAATAATTATGCACAGTAATAGTCACCTGCACACACAGATATCCCCCTAAAATAGCTAAAAGTAAAAACAAACTAAAAACTACTTCCAAAAACATTCAGCTTTAATATTAATGAGTTTTTTGGGTTTATTGAGAACATGGTTGTTGTTCAATAATTAAATTATTCCTCAAAAATACAACTTTCCTAATAATTCTGCACTCCCTGTAGCTTCTGCCATAGAATTTCTACATAAAGGCAACGAACATAGCATAGCTCACAGCATAGCTGCATGTAACATTAAAGAGATCTTTTGTCTGATAGTATTTGCGAGCTGATATCAAGTTTTTCATCAGATTAGCTTTGCATGCTGCCGAGCTTGTCTATAATACTGACGGCGGGCTGTCGATTAATGGCTTTCTTTCATGAGGTTAAATAAAGATTTTGGTGGTATAGTTTGACATTCTGGGAAGATTGTTTACTGTGAAACCTTAATACCACTCTCACAGCAGACTGAAGAAACACAGCTGCAATCACCAGCATCCCACCCTTCTGATAAGGGTTTATACAATGAAATGAAACGAACAGTTATCTGATCATCAAGATTCTTCTATAAATTACATTTGCATACCAGTTTAGTGACATAAACCAGATTCTAATGAAAAAGTGTAATGTAATCTGTCTGAGTTCCAGGATTTTTTTGTTAATAAAGCCACGCCATGTTGATTCCACCCCAATTGAATCTGTCTAGAATTGCTACATTTTAATCACTTGCTGTTATGTAAGGCTTTTAAATGTAGTCAGCATGCCATAAAGATTTGAGGAACTCTATAACAACGCTGAATGTGCTCCGGCTGAATAAATCCAGCCTAATGCAAGCATTTAAGTTCAGTACCCAACATGGAAAAGGTAAGAGCTGTTTTTAAAGCTGGGGAGAAGGAATCATTTCGTCGCAATAAAAAGGAAGCTCTGTCAGAGGAAAAAAAAAACAAAACCTTTTAGTAAAGCTAAAAGAACTGTAGGAAATTCTTGGAATTTTATTCTTGGAAAACATCTGAAGCAACATGTGCTTAGTGTCTGCTTAATGGCCTAACAAGGAAACTACAACTCTCATGACCCATGGACTCGAAAATGGACTAACTCCACAGGTATCTTGGATTCTTTGACTATTTTGGCTATTTTGAAAAAGAAATTGAAGGTTAGTTATCTTTGATTTTTCTAGTGAGGCATCCCAAGCATATGGACCAGTGAGCCAAACCTTGGCTCAGGAGTTATGCCTGTAATTTTCTGGATTGGTGTTGTTTACATCGTAATATCTCACAAACTAGTAAGAAACTGGCTGCGAAGACACCAGTTGCTCTGCTGTAATGTGCACTCAGCACATGTAGCTGCGTATGCCACTTGATGAGAGAACATGATGTTCTTGAAAATGAATAAAATTTCTACCTTATTAAACTTTCTCTCAAGGCTTGAGTTTTAGTCAAATGACTCGTGTGTGTTGTGTGCAGAGACAGTAGCCAGTTAGCAAAGCTTAGCTTAGCCTGTTTATGCTAACTAAGCCTATGGATACCGCTAAAACTAAATTTGTAAGCATTTACTCTTTTTTCATGTACTAAAGCAATGAGATGAGTAGGTTAATTTGTGAGTCTTGAAGACAGAATTTTATTTACTTGTTTTTCTTTGTATTTGCGCTAACTGGCTACTTAGCTTTAGATTTATCATATGAAGAAAGTTTTGCCACTTTAAAAGGTGTTTTAATTAGATCTGTTGGTTTCCTAAGGTTAGTACAACAAACTTTCTAGATAAACTTTCAAATGAACAACCATGAATTCAGATCAATAATACTCACTGACAGGAGGTGTGTTTTGCTCCAGGTAATTGTTCTGACTGTATTGCTCTTTTAATATGAGCTTTTCCAATATCTCACAGATTTTTCAGCTATTGCTCAGAAAACCCAAAAGTTAATGGCGGATTCTCCAGCCCAGAAGAGAGAAGACACGACACAAGTTTGTTTGCGCTCTTCCTGAATATCAAATCCCACAAAATGTGCAGTCATGCAGTTGGTGAGGTTTGCTTACAATGACTCATGTATTGACACAGGCATTCAGAGCCAATTTATTTAAGCTTTTCAATAATATAAACTCTGACAGGTGTTATTGTCTTTCTACTGACTTCGTCTCAACGGGATCGTGACACTGAGACATGGGAGGGGGGGGGGGGGGGGGGGGGGAAAAAAAGGGGGCACATTCCCTCTACTGTCTTTCTCACTTTCTCATTGTAGTTCCTGATGAAAAGAATTTTTGAACCAGTCTGCATAAACTGGTAGACCATTAGTGCCCTCTTCTGGAAGAGGTAGCCCAATATATAGATGTCTTTTTTTTTCTCTTGTATTTTCATTATTCATGTTAATCTTCTTTCCTTCCCAGTTTTCTTTACTCACACAGCCTGTTCACAGCTCTACCAAATGTGCTTCCTTTGCCCTAAATTAAACGAATAAAACAGATTTAACAGCAGTGTTTCTGCTGCAGGTCTGGATTTGTACAGCTTCCATTCAGTCAGCGCTGCCTGTCATATTAATCTTTCATTAGCTAGACAGTGACAAAGATGCTATTTCTTTTACTGCTGATCAATGTAAATTATAAATGCCTAAATCTCTCGACTAAAATACGCAGTTAGTAAAAGAATAGGATTTTCATAGCCAGTAAGAACTCCAGAGTTTGATGCATAATGTTAAAAACAGCAAAGTTAAATGGCACTTTGGGATTTACTGACGTAAACGTGGCCCAGTAACAAAATCAGGAAAGTCATTTTTTAAACTTTCACTCACCAGTTAGCTGAAAAACTGATTATATTCGAGCTAAGGTTCACTCCAACACCAGATGACCAACATATTGCTGGAGGATGTGTGAAGAAACAGACAAAGCCCTCTTTAGCACAGCTCTGGGGCCAAGAGCCTGCTCCAGTGTTCCCAGGACTGTCATAGCCATCTGCCAAATAAGACATGTAATGTAATCATTTGAGAACAGGTTACTCTGCTGCATTTTAAATCCGCTTACATTAGGCGCTGTAATAGTTATAGTGAATGCTACTATCTGCAAATAATGACATTGTACCACCACCAACACCAAATGGTTAAATGTGCTGACAAGTGCCACCTGCTGCTTCTCAGCTAATCAGGTCCAAATTGTGCTGCATTTTGCGTACATATCAGGACAGCTGTGTTATCTGATTTCATCCTATTTCATAAATGCATAGAATTATAAATCTGACATATAGTACTATGTAAAAGACAGTCCTCATTGTTTTTATATTTTGGAACGAAAATGGTAAATAAAATTTATTTGCAACATGTAAATACAAATACAGTATACGAGGCAAACACAAAGTTTAATTCTTACAAGATTGAAAGTCAGAATCACCTTTATTCTTCAACACAGTCTGGACTCTCTAAGGAAAGCTTTCTTACCATTTCTTTAAGTAGTCTTCAAGAATAGTTCTCCAGGCTTCTTAAAGGACATTCAAAGCTCTTCTTTGAATGTTGGCTGCCCTTCTGTTCGGTTCCCTGTCAAGACGATCTCACATAGCTTTAGTTGAGCTTTGGTCTCTGGGGAGGCCAATCCATGACTGACAGCATTTCATTCTGTGTTTTTCTATATAAACCTTTTTTACTGTGCTTGCAGTATGTCCAGCTTTTGTAAAGCTTGGTTCTTGTGTCGGGTCTTTGCTGGATTTTTTTCCTATTTCTTAAGGACATGACTTTAAAATATTGTTCTTCGCCTGCCACTTTTTTCCTCCACTTACAAGAACACACTGCAAAGCACGCTGAGATATGCCTAGTTTTCAGCTAATAGAACATTGGAAATCACCTAGTTGGTGCAAAAATTCTCTTTTGTGCAAACTTTGGCATTTTTCATAAACTAAAGAAATGGAAACAATGATGTGTTTTTGCGACAGGCTGCGAGTAACAAAGTGCTTAAAGATACAATTTAAAATTTGTTATTTGCTAAGATGTCCGTTAAGTGTAGACTAGGGCAACCAACTGTCCTCTTTTTATGCACTTGTTGACTTATAAAAGCCTATATGACATTTTTTATTTCACCATTCATTAACCGCACAAAGAAGGCATTGTTTAAATATGTGTTATATATATTATATATGTTTAAATATAAGTATTATTAAAGTTCTTCATGACTGGGCCAAGTGTCCTCTTTTTTAGAACTCAAATATCGTCACCCCAGTGTAGACACAACACAGGTTTATCCCTTAACTTAAATGCCATTTTTATGCTTGAATGCTTTATAGTTTAGTGGCTTACCAAGCAAACAAAACAAACATAGAAAAACAAACACATATTCCTCTGAAAATGGTCACAGAACTGAACTGAAAATGAGTGAAAAACCAACCAATGTCCAAAGAAAAAGCTTTAAAGAATTATTCCTTGCTCTGGCTCCTTGCTAGCCAAATATAAACAAATGAGCATTTTTGTTCAGTACTATAGTCAGACTGGAAATCTGTGACTAAATTTAATATGGTTTTTTTAATGTACAGAGAAAGTATCTGACATAATGTATCCTCTTTAACGGTAAAGCAGTATGTCACACACCTCCCCTATTTGAATTTGACTTCTTTGTGTTTTTGTGTGTAGTCACTCCTGTTGCCTTTGGCAGAATTCCCAAGACTTATTCAAATTTAAAATACTATAATATTCCATATTTCACTTTGAAAAGTTTTTTCTTAGCCCCGGGGATCCGAATTCAACTACCAAGACCCTATAACATATGAAAAAAGATGCATATTGTTACCACAGGGGCAGTGTAGAGTCATAATGATCCCTTCAGGTGACTGTGAAAGCGAAGATGTCCTTCAGGCTACAGTTACGAGAATAGCTGCAAAAATCAAACGGCACCACGTATGCGCGTATGTGTATTGTTGTCTGTGCTCAGAGTTGTTCCTTTAACGCCATTATTTCCCGTTTTGTCACTGCCGCCATAGCCTTCCTTGAAACATGAAAATAAAGTTTTATGTTAAAAAAAATGCAGTTTCTATGACGTATTTTTAAGGCGACAGAAGGAGGGCGGTTTGAAAGCAGAGAGGGAAAATATTTTTAACACGTTTAAAATACGCCAAATTTACTCATAAGATAAAACATCTGCAGGCTAGCCGTGCATAGGCTCTGATGTATTTTTACTTTTCAAACGACTTAGCTAGCGTTACATTAACTCAGTACGCCCGGTTGCTGGCTAACTAGCTAGTCACCGCCGCTGTGATGTGCAGCTGCCGACTGTCGTTAAAATTCCTCTCTGTTAAATGCTGACCGAGCGCACGTCAGAATCGATGTGAACGCTTTGAAGATGGCGAGTGTGCACGAAAGTTTGTATTTTAATCCCATGATGACGAACGGGGTCGTCCATGCTAACGTGTTTGGCATTAAAGACTGGGTGACTCCGTATAAAATCTCCGTGTTAGCGTTGCTGTATGAAATGACTGCCTCCAAGATAACACTGCCAGAGAGAAGGCGACTTAACAAGCTCATCCTCCCTCTACAGCAGGTTGGTTTTTATGAATGTCGGAAACTAAAACTACCCTTGAACCTATCCACCTTGTTGTTGCATTGTTTACCTTGGCTCACTGTGATCTACCAGGGTCCAGACCTGACTCTCGGCCAGTTCCTCAAGACTGTGGAGGAGTGTTGTCCACAGACTGCATATGCTGTCAAACTGAGGTAGAAATCGATTTTATCCCATTTGATTTCATTCTACCATTTGTGAAAGAAAAAAGACGATGCTTTAAGTTCACATGGAAAAATCTACACGCCAGTGTCCAACTCAATTTGTAGTGTTGGCCATATATTAGCTAATTTTGATCTAAGTGGGCAGTGTAAAGAAGTTTAACGGAATTTTTATCCCCGATATATCTCACTATAAGGAAAGAAGAGCAATTTTAGCAGTAGCGCTCAATTTTTCAACATGATTTAGGAATGTTCTATTAAATTAAAAGAAATCTGTAAGCACAATTCTGTTGGCTTTAATTGCAAGAAATAAATGTGTAAAGTGGAAGAATAAGGCCTGGTAGCTCATTGACCAGATGGTCTTGTAAATATACAAAAGAGAGGATTTGTTAAGCCATAGAAAAAATCATTTTTATTGTGGCTCATTGTAGGAAATGCAAAAGAAAGAAAGAAAATATTCAAAAGTGGATAATGAAATAAACAGGATTTTTTTCTCTTTATCTGTTATATCATTACTTTTGGTTTAATATGAAAGGCCATTGCTGAGGTTTTTTATCTGTAGGAAAAGCTTTAAAAATTAGAAAAATACAGTTTAAAGTCCCAAATTTGTGCCCTCTTTCACATATTCCAAAGCCATCCATTGGGCTGGACTGGAGTCTTTGCCATTTAAATTCTGGTCCCTAGGCCTTAGATTTCACTTTCCTTGGTGTAATATTAAAACACAATAACGTTTAAATGTTGATGTTGTAGTCAATCACGGTGTTGTTTCTCCTTTAAAGGCTCCATGAAATGGCAGATGGAGAGCTGAAAGACATGGAGTACTTCTTTTCTACTCTTCCCACTCCATTCACAGCTTTTGATACCGAAGCTTACAAAACCAGTGTAGTAGGTGAGTAATTTGCACCTTATTGCAGTCCTGATTATAACTCAGTGGAAGTCTGATTTGAGAATTGTTAAAATTGAAAAGTATTGTATTAAACAATATTTTCACCCCTTTTCAGGTCTTTTTATGCGACACATGCTTCTGGCCTACAACAAGCTTTCTTTCAGTCAGGTTTACAAGCTGTACAAATCCCTGCAGCACTACTACCACAGTCACTATGCCAAGCCTATGGACGGCCAGGTGCCGGCCTTGGTCGCAGACGACTCGGAGATGGACCTGACCAGCATTGAGGATACTGTAGGTGACAGAGTGGACAAGGAGGAGCTGGACACTCCACTGCACGAGTCAGAGCTTCAGTGAGTGAAATATGCACCAGTGTTTCAGCTGACCTGAAATATTTTGCCATTGTTGTTTTTGATTGGCGCCACCTCCTAATTTGTGTTGCAGAAGTGACAATACTCCAAGCAGAGGTCCCCTCTCACAAAAACAAGCAGAGTACTTTCTTGCTAGACAGGTGAGTGTTGATTATAAGTGGACATGAAACACTACATGTATGAACGCTAAATTAAGCCCTACTCTAAAAACTGCATTAGATTTAGCTCTGTCTGTGAAGCCAAATTTGAGAAATAACTGTTGAAAGTTACTTTTTTTTGTTTGGCTGAAACAGGAAAATCCACCTGTTAGTCATGCTTGGATGTGTTGATTTGATGTTTGTAGCTAGCATAAACTAATCTAAATCTCTTAGCAGCAATCAACCAAGCCAGTGATGTCATGTTCTGCACTGGCACTAGATGGCGCTAAGCATTATCTTAAAAACAAAGTTAAAGCTATGATAGTTTTTTAGAGCAGGGCTCCATGGTGCAAATTAGTGTTTCATGTCCACTTTAAGGTGGGACTCTAAACCTTTGTACATACTGGAAGCTATTTGCACATTTCCTTGAACATGATTGCTGGTTACTTGCACACAGTCCAAGTTCCAGTTGCATAGGTGACGCTTTAATGTATTTTCTAGCAGGTCATATATCAATCAACAGTATTCTTCACTGTCATTGGTAGTCGTCTGGTAGGTGAGAATAGTTTATTGTGGGCCCCACCCACTTCACGTTACCAGCATATCAGCATATTTTCATTTTTATTTTCATGTCTATTTAAGCTTAATTTATAACAGTATGTTTGCACTGAAGCACCGCAGCAATTTCCTAATGTTGTAAACCCACTCAACATTTGGCAATAAAACCCTTTCTGATTCTGATTCTGATTTTTCAACCACGATTACTTTAAGTCGTCAAGCATCATTCACTTTCTGTGGTCTCATCATCGCTGCAATCTGCTACCAATGTGTATACAGCTTTAGAGTCTTCATATCAACAAATTTAATGAAATAAATACATTTTAAAAATTCAGTTATAGTATTTACCGACACCATGTTTAAACTTTCTGCAGGCATACCTACTCAAGAATGATGAGAATAAAGCTCTAAAGCCTGCTGCTCTGCAGGAAGAGCTCAACAACATGCTGAAGTTTAATCCTGACTTTGCTGAAGCGGTAAAGTTCATCTCCTTAAATTTTCCTTACTATATAAACAGATCAGTCAGCGGGTTGGTGTCTCCTTCATTAGCTCTCTTTTCTCTCTCTCTCTCGCTCCTCAGCATTATCTGAACTACTTGAACAGCATGAGAGTCCAGGACATCTTCCTGTCAGCCCACAGTCTCTTGCATTATTTTGATCGACTCATCTTGTCTGGAAATGACGGAAAGAGCAATGGGGACGAGGGCTATGGTCGAAGTCTCCGCTACGCTGCTCTTAACTTGGCAAGCTTGCACTGTCGCTTTGGCCATTAGTGAGTACTAATGGAGGAGTTGGAGGAGTCCAAGTACGTGGACAAGTTCCATAGAAAAGAATAAAAAAGAGATTTTTTCCCTTTTCTCTCCTGTTAGTCAACAGGCTGATCTGGCTCTACAGGAGGCTATCCGGATTGCCCAGGAGTCCAATGATCATGTGTGCTTGCAGCACTGTCTGGTACAACAGTTCCCACTTCATTATCTTCACTTCAGTGGTTGTGCCATGATGGATTGTTAATTACGTCTGAATCTAACACGCTCTCCTCCATCAGAGTTGGCTCTACACACTGGAACAGATGAAGGGTTCTGACAGCACCGTGCTAACCGAGGATTCAGTAAAAATGGCTGCCCATTTCTGCCTGCCAGTGAGTGCAACATGAGGTGTCACATATGAATTCCTCTATTAAAGTGATTTGGATCTTTATTATTTGTAAATTTCTTTGGCCCAATTTTCATAAGCATGTAAATTTCTCAGAGAATGCTATGCAGAAAATAATTGGATAACATACGAGCAGCAAAATATTATATTTGCTCACTGAAATTGACTTATTATTAGATTTTAAAATGTTATTAATCCTCTCCATTTACAGTATTTGGCATCTCTGGGCATTCAGTCATTGGTCCAGCAGGGGGCAACACAGGGTAAAACGGCACACAAGCTGATGGATGCCCTGAAGGACACAGACATTCTTCACTGGAAGCACAGTCTGTCGGAGCTGATCGAGATCAGCCTGGCTCAGACGACTTCCATATGGAGGATGTATGGAAAGAGGTCAGGCTCTTCACTCTGCCACCGTAACACACAGTTGCCACTTCTGCTCACTTTTGACTGCATACTAACACTGCAGCTTCTTAACCATTCATATCAAATCAAATCAGTGAAGTGGCTGAAATGCCTGATGTTGTACGCATGGATTAATAGCATTAATAGCAATAGCATGGACAGCCAGACATCTCCCACACAAGTTTGACTTTTCAAGTGCAGAAAAACGTGTTTTTTTTTGTAAGTAATTAACGTGGCCTCCTGTGTCTCCTGCAGCACGATGTCTCTGCAGCAGGCCCAGCTGCTTCTCAACATGAGCAGTCTTGAGCCAGTTAACTTCGGGGTCCAGCAGAACAACACAGAGGGCTTCGCTGTGGTCCTCTGTCACCTGGCCGAGCTACACGCTGAGCAGGTAACGTGTTTGATTTCATCTAGTCTGCCTGCTGTCTGCCCTGCTGTTGCGTATCTTAGACATTAAAGAAAAATTGACCAGGTCTGCTTTTGTGTTCTTGGCTGTAGTTCAAAACGTAACTCACGATCCCATCTACCTCTGCTTGTGTTGCAGGGCCTGTACGGTGTCGTTTCAGAGATTATTCTGCATCTGAAAGAACAGTTTCCTCCTCACACACAGCATGCCAAGGTACATTTTCTGAAACACACTGTGCTTCTCAGCGTATCAGTGCAGTAACTACAAAGAGGACAAAGTCGAAAAATAAGAGTTTTAAGTTTTCAGACCCTGAAAAACTTGTTCCAAAGCCTTGTTAGATATTTTTATATTCTCGAAAATAACTGACACGTATCACACGTTTACTCGCTACTTTGTACATAAAAGGTTGTACGTGAAAGGTGGACCTGGGCAGAAAAATGCCTGTATTCTTTCAAATGAGCCCACAGGAGGTGGCGACTTCTTGGGGGGGGGGGGTGATTGTATTTATATCTGTGGGGAAAATATCTCTTTGGCTCACTTGATCTGTGACTTCATTAAACACTATCATGGTTTGTTTATAGAATGCATTTGCCAGTTTCAAGTCTTTCTCAATATAATGAGATTTCCTTGCAGTTTATCCCCTTTAGTGTAAGAGAGGGTGATAAAGCTGAGTATGCTTTAGGGTGGGCTTCCTCGTGTTAGGTGCCTGCAGTGTTCTTTGATTTCTCAGTCACTTGTCACGTCTGGTTTATGATGGTGTTATACCTCCATCTTTTTTATGTAGTCTGTGCTTTGGAAACAAAAAAGGGAAATGATTATGTTCTTTCAGCTTCTCAGCTTTACCATTAAATATGAGATTTAAAGTTGGATGAACTTCACCAACCCACATTAATAATTTGAGTCTAGCCTAAAGCGGAGAGGCAGATGTAGTTACTCTGATTTTTAACAGTGGTTCATGTGGAGGATTGTTTTCCCTGTGATAATTATATTTTGCTTCCTTGTGTCAAATAGCAAACTAATTACCATGTGTGTCACTTTCAGAATTGTTTCAGAATTGTACACGTTGTTTTGACTTAGATGTAATACACTACCAAAATATTAAAGTAACACCTAATAATCATCAGTAAAACACAAAATTATTTATACGTCAGGGGTTTCAGTGTGTCCAGTTAAGAAGAATAAAGCAGTGCAAACCCGCTTTACCTGCTTTGGTAAAAATGAAAGTGGCAACAGGTGCAGTGGAAAGGCAAGAATTCCCAAAAAGGGAATGGTTTAGCCGGTTGTGGCCCCAGGCCATTGCTTTCTCTTTCTCCCTCTTGTGGGATTTTTTTTCTCCCCCCCTCTATAGCTTTGCTTTGTTTTTCTTGTCACTGTTAGTAGCATGGCACAATACCCGCAGTCCATTGAGGTTGCAAAAGTAGTCTAGCTCCTCCAGGATGGTACAACCCAATTTGCAGAGTTTAGGAGTGCAGTGTAGATCAGGGCGGTAGAAAGGCATGAGCCCAGCAGCAGGACCAATGTTTCACACGTTTCTGACCAGACACAAATGGACTTCATGAGGGTGGATTGAGGGCCTGACGTCCTTTGTGCTCACAGCCCAGAACGATGCAGCTCAGTTGGTATTCGCCGGAGTAAACAGGAACTGACTTGTCTGTTACTGTTATCCTGTTATCTTCTCAGATTATGTTGTAGGCATCGAAACATTTACCACAGTGTTTCAGACTTTTCCATGTCTGACACATTACTCGGTGTGAACCTCATCTCATCTGTGAACAGAACTGGGTGCCAGTAGCAGACCTGCCAGTTCCCATTCATTGGTGTTTGCCCAGCATTCACTTTTTGGAGGTTGTCTTATTGTTTCCTCTGTAGTCCTCTTTCATTTGCACCAAAGCAGGTGAAATGAATTCACAAAGGTGTGTGCTTCCTAACTGGACAGATTGATCCCCAAAGTTTAACTATATGTTGTAGTCTAATGATCAAGTGTTTTACTTAATCTTTCTTGGGCTGTGTAGAATTAGTAAAACAAACATTACAGAGTTCATTTATTCTGTAATTCATGGTATAATTTCACTGTAATGAAATTACTTTTCTGTGTCCCAAATGCAGCTCTGGATGCTGTGTGATCTGAAAATCCAGTTTGAGAGACATATGAATGAAGGGAAATATCACTTGGCAGAGCCTCTAGTCACAGCTATCGCTGCATTAAATCAGACAGAGGGTCTTTACAGGTAACTCAAATAAGTGAATCTGCAGGCCTTCTTATAACATATGCTGCCCTATACACTTTTTATTTGAGCTGCACAATAACTGTGTGCTCTGTGACAGGAAAGCTCAAGTTCTGAAGGCTCTCAACCGCAACACTGAAGCATACCACATCTTACAGCAGCTGCAGGCTCGCTGTGAGAAGGCTAAGTGTACAGAGATGGTTATCAGGTAGGACCCGGTTTTCTCATACCGTTACGGCTCCATTCAATTTGAGTAAATGCACTTATTCTACTATCATTTATTTTTATTTGTCCAATCAAACTTGTTTAAAAGGAATTAAGTTCAAACTATACATCACCGTTGCAAGTCTTAACTGTTCTCCTGTAAGATATAAAGATCCCAACATAAATGTATTTTGACCTTTATGCTTCAGAGATCACACAAAGTCATTTTATGTCTCTTTCAGAGTGATGCTGTCCACTGCTGAGCTCCACTGGGAGTCGTCTGGCTTCTCCACAGCTCTTCCTGTCCTCCTGCAGGCCTTGGCTCTGGCTAGACAGCACCACCTCCAGTCACTGGCCTCGGAAACCATCCTTCACCTGGCCTTCACTCAGGTCAGCTGCAGCATTAAAAGAGACTTCACTTAGCTGTGCAAATACCAGCTTGCGTTTATGCAAAAATCCCCCACATGGTTTATTTATTGCATTTGTTGTCTCTCGTTTCTGCAGCTGATGTTGGGGGTTCCTGAGCAAGCTCTGAATGTGCTGCATGAAGCCATCGAGCCTATTCTGGCCCACAGAGCAGTCATGGACAAAGGTCGTGCCATGCTGCTGGCAGCCCGCTGTCAGATGGCAGTGGCTGGGTTCAAGCCAAACAGACAAGGGCAAGCAGGTAACAGTTTGCTCCCCTGACACACCACCTCACCACATATATTGGTCCTCTGCTCATAATGCTTTCATCTACATTTGCATACTGCTGTTTATGTCCCAGCAGATTTGCGTTTAGCAGCTTCGGCTCTCGACACGCTAAATGAGGCCGCCGCCTATTTCTCCCAGCTGAACTGTAAGGAGCGGCTGCGGGACGTGCACTATCTGCAGGCTCAACTCCACCGCTCTCTGGGACAAATCTTGGAGAGCAACAAAAGTGCCATGCTCTTCCGGCTATTGGACCAGGAGCTGCAATCGCCAGCACCGCCGGTCTCCATGCGGCTCTAAACTGCTCCCACTGCCCCATCAACAAAAACTGAACTGAATCACTGCAACTCACCACTAGATGGTGCCGAGGCTCTGTCCTGTTTTCTAGACTAAAACATTTCATTTGTGGCTGTGTTGAAAGAGAGGTGTTTGTGAAACATTTTGCACGGAGTAACAGGATGATAACTAAAAATGTAACATGACAGCAGCCATGAATTAAAATGAGTTTCCAGTACAAGAAGAACGTGTCCATTGTGTGTTTACTTACAGATATATGCGAATTTGAATGATGGTCCTAAATATAACATGTGCTTTAATGCCTTCCACCATAGCAAGTTAGTCTGACAGAAGTACATGTCACGCACCTGTGTAGGTTTAAAAAAAGAAAAGAAAAGAAAGAAAAGTCAAAAGTTTAGATCAAAAGCTGACACGTGGCGTCCCGATGCACCCGCTGCGTTTTGATGAATGAGGGTAATATCAGAGTTGGCGACGAGATTAATGCATTCACTAGTGTGGATGATCCTGATTTTGCAGGAGGAATACTGATGAAGCCAAAGGCCATATTAGGAAATCATATCAACACTGTGTATATAAATGGCACATTTTTCTGAATTGTTTGCAGCAGTTATGTTGATTTATCAGAAACAGAATACTTTATTGATCCCTGGGGGAAATTATTTAATGTGTTCTGCCTGATGCGTAATACATTCATTGTGTCATGTGCTTCCTTAAGGAAAATAATTGGCTTCATCTTGGTTAATTTACATTTGGTCTGGCAAAAGTAGTCACAGGAAACACCTGCAGGAGGAATATGCTCACGCTAAGGTTCTCAGTCGTGCTCGAACCCCAAAAATTCCGGTTGAATGAGTTTAAGTGGCGTGTTTGTCTTCCTGTACTTCTGTTGATAAACAGATTTCTAGTAAAGGCAGCCTTGTTGTCTATGCAAATACCACAGTGCTGTGGTAATTGGCACAGAGCCATAAAATACATGTATTTACATGTTTAGCATAATTGCAAGTGTCACCGAGTAGACTTCATGTAGCAGTTCCTCAATTTAAAAAGTGACAGTTTGTGTTATCATAGAGATTTGTAGCATGTGGATTTCAGTGCATGCTTCTTTTACCCAGTCAGAGCGGAGCTGTCTCCAAGAATAAAGGTAAATTTCACAAAAGTAACGCTAATAGACCTTAAAAAAAACTTGTTTATAAGAAAATGATGCCATTTCTCCTTTTGAGTTATTTTCAGTCCTTTGCCTTAAAAGCCACACAGGGAAAAAATAAGTTCTAACCGATCCACTAAGCCTTTAATCTTTGTTCATTGTGTGTGTTCTACTGATTAAAGTAAACAAGTTAATAGTGTATTGTATAAAATGTATCTATTCATAGTTTGTGTAGCTGTTATATATAAAACGGCAATAGAAGCAGTCCCTGCACCCCTCCCCCCACTCTGTACAAGGCTAATAAGTTCGCAGGTTTTGCTTCTTACTGATCTAGTGGAAATAATCTAACTGAATGTTGCTTTTGAGCCCTGTCAAGTCCCTGAGTGCTTTCCATCTTGTGAATGCCTGTCTAAGGTTCATACTTGTCTTACTTGCAGTTTCCGTGACTCTCTTGCTTTGACTTCTTTGCCTCCCCCAGAAGGGCATTAAAGAAGGCAGATGCAGGGTGGCTGATACAGGTTGCAAGATTACTCCAGGTCCAGCATCCATTATGGAAAGCTATCTCGAAAACAAAAATGCTTCTTTTTTTTCTGTTTTCAAGATTGCACCTTGGGAGATGTTATTCCCAGTGGGAGACAAAATTTCATTGCTAAAGTCAGGACAAAAGGGAGTCAATCTGAAGGCTGATGTTGTCATTAGTCTACAGCCATAATGCAATTGACATTTAATGTCTTAGCACAACTGTTCCATCTGTTTTTAGTTGGTTTCTAGCAAGTCAAAGAAGGTGTGCAAATAAAACAAAAATAGAAAAAATAACAACTCAAGTAAAGTACAAATCCCTGAAGATTGTACTTAAGTACAGTAACAATGTATTTTCACTTCATTGCTTCCCGCTTCTATATAAAGACCAATACAAGAAGTTTGTGAAGGATATTCCAAATTTTACCAGTGCTGTTAATCACACCAGATGCAAAGTATAATTTCCCATTGTCTACTAGTATTTCATCATGTTGGAAACCCTCAAACATTCACCCCTCACAGGACACAGGGTGAGGCAGAGTACAGCTGATAATTGGAATCAAGCTTCTGAAACCTCTTTTCACAAATTGTTATCCTTACTGTTACCATCCTGTGATTTCACTCACTTCTCTCCAAGTCCTTTTCTTTCACTCCTCAGCCATATAAGGCTGGGGTATTGTTGTCTGCTTACCAGGCAGGTGTGTGGCCTGAATATGCAATAACTGGACAATGAGGCCACATAGGCTTTTCAAATTATACCATAGGAGTATAATTGCTAGGAGCCTGAGCAAATACTCCTAGCTATTTGTTTTTTGTTTCGTTTTTTTGTCCATCTGAAAGAGAAATTGAACCTTATAGTTCTACCTGCTTTTCTTATTATCAATAACATCAGAAGACTCTTCATGACTCTGATGGATCCCAACTGATGGATTGTTGCAACACAGTGTTAAGCAAACTTTTTGCTGTAGCTGAAATATTTTCACTTGCACACAATCTCACATCAAAAAATCTTGTTACACAGAGTTTGCATTTTGAAATAATGTTGCTTCACATTTGGTGTGAATGCACCAATAGAATCTGTGGAAGCAGCTTGCTAGCCAAGTTTGCTAGCGCTAGCTAATAACATACACCCATTTGTGCTCATATGGTCAATTCTGCCCCACCAAATTGCGCTAACAACACCAACACTGAGGCTCTCTCCAAAACCAATGGGTGACAACATAGTGTCAGTCTTTTATATTGAGTCTATGGTTTATTAGGCTGCTGTAATCGAATGACTTTAAAAACGGCTCAGTTAGTCCAGAATTTCAGACTGAAAAGTCTGAGCAGCTGGAAGAAGCTGGCAGATATTTGTTGCCATCACAGTCATTCTTGTTTCACTGTGAGCTTCATAGTAAAATTTGTCAACAACTACTGATAATTTTCCCAACATTTGGCATTAAAACATATTTTCCATTACGATGGTTCAGTAACTCTTAACTTAGGCAAAGTACTTGAATTTGTTTGTAACCTCTGTAACTACTGACATTTCCATGAGGTTCAGCTGTAATTGTTGTTTGTTTTTGGCAGATGTTATTATATTAGTATAATGCACCAAGAGAAGCGTAAACATTCTATCTCGCTCACATTATGTATGATTGGTATTTAGCTAAAAAACAACATTATAGCTCTGTGTGCTTATAGTAGTTTTCTTCAGGTCTGGATATTAATGGTTGTTGTTTGTTTGTTTTTTTAAATTGATTTATTAACCTCCTAGGACCTGGCATCCACATATGTGGACATCACATTTTGGGTGATGTCCACAAAATACTTAAATTTTCTCTGCAAGGGCCTGATATCCACTTACGAGGACATTATACTGAGTTCAGGTCTTAGGAGGTTAAAAATGAAAAAGAATTGATGATAGCGCTGGTATACAGACAGACAGAATCTGAGTAACATTGAATTTTGGGTCATTCTGACATTGAATCCATGCTCTGGAAAACAAACTCTCACTAACCTCAGATTTCTTGCCAAATATCCCGGTTCAGAAATAGCACAGCTTCTGTGGTAAAATATAACATCTTTGTTCAAAATGTTTAATAACAAGCATGGCAACAAACATGGCATATGAACAATGCATGTTTAGAAAAATATATCTGCAAATGTATTTTTCAGAATACACTATACATCGACTTAACCTCTACTCGATATTAAACATTTACAATTCAGAAGTGATAGTGTCACGGTAGAAAACAACACGGGCAGTTTCCTTTTGAATAGTGTCCATTTCAGGATCAGCTTACGTCAGGAGAAAAATGTGGGCAGACATTCGAGTAAAACAGGCAAACAACCTGAGATGTCTTCATGGTATACCTGCTTGCAGCTGTTTTTTTTTTTTTTTTAACTCATGCTTCTTTATTTTCCCTTACCAGTTTCACATAAACAAACCCTCCTTTTCCAAACAAACTGTCCAGGTATTAACAAGAGTTTTTCCTTACAAAAGAAATGATATTACCTCGCGGACAACCTCCAACTTGTTGTTGAAACCTATGAACATTTCTTAATATGACTCCCAGCGTTGGTTTATATTTGGATGTTTATAATAATGATGTGTCATACATGAACTGAAATGAATGTTCAAATGGTTTCTGCTTCAGTTCTCAAATACAACCCTGACCAGTATCCAGTAGTGATGATACAAGAGTCAAACTAGATACAACCTCTCATTTTACTTCAGAACACAAAATTAATGCCAAAAAAAAGAAATGAAGTGATGTTAAATAATTGAGTAAAAGAGGTATTGAAGTGGAGTTAATTTCCATGTTTGATTAAATTAATCTCAGAGAAGGCGCAGTGGCTATGTCTCCGTAGCTTAAATAATGCTTAAGTCTTCAGTGCAGACACCGTCTCATTGTGATTCTGTCCGAGTGTCTTTGAGGAGACTGTCCCGCTGAGGGGAGCTGAGAAGAAATTGCAGCAATGCTCAGTATCCCGCAGGATAGCCTCCTTTCCTGGGGTCAGACTCTGCACAGAGACGCTCTCCCTGCCGCACCACAGCCTGGACCACCGAGTCTGGAGTCCTTAGCAGCTGCGTTACATGGTTCTTCTGGACCAGACCCTCCAGGACACTCTGGCATAGTTCCACCACACATACAAAAACATAGAGAAATAGTCTTGTGCAGGAGTTTTGGCTTTGTAATGCATAGCACACATGTGGAATTATTTTTTACCTTCCTGACTGCTGGCACATGTGTAAAAGTCAATGTGCATAAATCTAAAACTTGGTTGAGATAAGTAATATATAAAGAAACACTTGATTCCCTTTTCCTTATTATCAAATCTCATTGCTATGTGTTTTTAACCCTGTCTAAAAATGTGTAGACCTTCAATGTGTCCAGAGGATGAATCCTTGTAACTCTGGTGATGTTATGGCTTTTCTTTCAGTACAAGGTCTGGATCAAGGTCTGATGACCAATTGCCAATTTAGGGAAACTGAAGGCCTCACAGAAAGAAGGAAATAAAAAATCAAACACTTTCATGCCTGAGTTATCTTAACGGTCAGAATCCTCGGAGGTGGGAAC